CCATGAATTTGAATAAATGACTACGTCATCCAAATAAGCCTCGCAATTTGTCACACCAGACAATATTCTCTGCATGAGACGTTGGAAGGTGGCTGGAGCGTTTCGCATCCCGAAAGCCATGACTGTATATTGCAGGAAGTTGTCCGGTGTCACAAATGCAGAGACGTCAGAGGCGCTTGCACTAAGCGGCACTTGCCAATAGCCCTTCAATAAATCTAGTTTAGTGACATAGGTTGCAGCACCCACACGATCAATGCAATCTTCTATCCTAGGAAGAGGAAAAGAATCTGGTTTCGTAACACTGTTCAGTTTGCGATAGTCTGTGCAAAACCTGAATGTGCCGTCTGTCTTTGGCATCAAAAGACAGGGCGAGCTCCACGGGCTTGAACTTGGTACTGCAAGGCCATTCTGCAACAGGTACTCCACCTCTTTTTTCATCTCCTCTCTCTTCCATGGATTAACCCGATATGGATGCTGTTTAATGGGAGAAGAATTCACAATTTCAATATCGTGAAACAACACGTTGGTTTGAGTGAGGGTGTCAGAGAAGAGAGATGAAAACTGGGTTAACAACTGTACAAGAGCTTTTCGATGGGAATTATCAAGGTAAGATAAATGCTCATCTAACCCTTTTATTATTTCTGAATTTGAAAGTCTGGGTGGTACTGCCATTTCCTCACGAGCAACCCATCCATCCAATTCAGACTCAACACTAGACACAAGTGCAACTGGGACAACAGAATTATTTTTAGCATCACTGGATCTGCCTACATATGCTTTAAGCATGTTAATGTGGCAAACACGAGTTTTCTTCCTACGATCTGTGGTACGAATAACGTAATTGGTGTCACTCAGTTTTCGTTCCACTGGATACTTGTAGAGCAGACCCAGGGACAGGCAGTAATACCAGCACAGAGTCGCCCACCTGAAAACTCCGGTTAGTACTATGTCTGTCAAAACGTTTCTTCATTTTGTCTTGTTTCACAGCCAAATTTTTTCGTGCTATTTCACACACACGATGTAAACGTTCACGCATTTTATTCACATAGTCTAAAACAGACATAGGGTGAGGATTGACACTTAGTAGCTGTTCTTGGAGCAGTTTTAAGGGGCCACGGATTTTGTGTGCAAATACTAACTCAGCCGGGCTGAAACCCAAAGACTCCTGAACGGTTTCTCGTACTGCAAACATCATCATCGATAAACCATCATCCCAGTCTCGTCCAGTTTCCACGCAAAATGTGCGCAGCATAGATTTTAACGTTTGATGGAAACGTTCTAGAACGCCTTGAGACTCAGGATGGTAAGCACTCGACAGCTGATGTTTAACAGTTAATTCACGCAACACTTGCGAGAATAAAGTCGATGTGAAATTAGAGCCTTGATCTGTTTGGATAACTTTCGTCAAACCGAAAGTGGAACAAAATTTAATCAGTTCTCTGACGACTGCTTTGGCTTTAATATTGCGCATCGGAACTGCTTCCGGATACCTTGTAGCTGCACACATTATTGTTAATATATAGTGATGACCAGCTTTAGATTTTGGCAATGGGCCAACACAATCAATCAATATACGCTCAAACTGTTCACTTGTGATTGGAATTGGATGCAGGGGTGCAGGAGGTATAACCTGATTTGGTTTGCCCGCTAACTGGCATGAATGACATGAACGACAATATGCAGACACATCCGATTTAAGTCCTGGCCAAAAGAAATATCGCAATATTCGGTCGTAGGTTTTTCTAACTCCTAAATGGCCAGAAAAAACATGGTCATGTGCAAGCCCTAGAATTTGCGAACGATGACCCACAGGCACAACAATTTGATGAACACAATCATCGTCCTCCCATTTACGTATTAGCAAATCATCCTCCCAGATGTATTGAACTTTGCCATTAACAACAGTGCCCTTATCTGCTGCAGAAATGCACTCTCGCAGTGAAGGATCATTTCTTTGCGCGTCTATTAACTGCGCACGCCCAACTTTTAAGTGAACGTCAGTACCACCCAGTATTTCAGCCAGATTTGTAATTTGCTTACTGTCAAGACATGTATCTTCAGATGTATTTTCACTAGACATCTGCATGAAACTATCAGATAAATCCATCTCCTTCCCTTCATTACGAGCTTGAGCCCGCGTCACTACACATGTAGGAAATGCATTTGGGAATTGAATAGATACATCTGACATTTCATCAATGACTGGGGTATCAACCACAATAGGAACAGGGAAAACTTTCCCACCTGCCAGATCATTGCCCAGAATAAACTGAACTCCCTCTACTGGAAGATCAGAACACACTCCAACACAAACATTTCCCGTCACTAATTCAGTTTGCAAATATATCATGTGCAGGGGAACTGTAACACAGCCTGAACCCACTCCTCTTAGTATGACATCAGAACCAGTATAAGAATCAGATAACAAATTTAGAGTGCTTCGAAGCATCAAAGACTGAACTGAACCGGTGTCCCTCAAGATAGTTATTGGTTTAGGAACACTTTCAGCATCATGTGACACCCACCCTGACAGCATAAAAGGTTCAAACCCCCTCTGGTCTGAATTTAAATCTGTCTCCTCTGTAGCTGCACGTATAAACCCGACACTTTTAGGTTTAACTGACACATTTTTCTTTTTCCAGGCCTCACAGTCTGCTTTCAAATGATTAGCATCCAAACAGAAAAAACACACCCTACCGTCCCCGGAGCGGTTTTGAGGAATCCTTCTATTGCTGAACCCAGCCCCTCGCCCTGGTTTAGCAGTATTATTGATCCAACCTTTGACCTGCATTTCAGGACCCTGGACAGCAGCCCTATCAGCACCTTTGACCACAGGAGAGAAAACTGTTCTGTGTGTTAATACAAACTCATCTGCCATTACAGCAGCTAAGGACAGAGACACTACTTTTTGTTCATTCAAATGAATAACAAGATTCTCAGACACAGAGCTCTTAAAGTCCTCTAATAAAACTTGCTCTTTCAATTGCTCAAACGTTGTGGTTTTATTTGAAGCACACCATTTATCAAATAAAGTTCGTTTTTCCCTTGCAAACTCCACAAATGTTTGTCTGTCTGTTTTCTTGTGAGCTCTAAATTTTTGTCTGTATGCCTCCGGCACTAGCTCATATGCACGGAGGACAGTCTGTTTAACAACGTCATAAACAAGACTCTGTTCCACTGGCAACGCGGAGCACACTTCCTGCGCTTTGCCAATTAATTTACATTGCAGCAGGAGAGCCCACATCTCCTTCGGCCACTGCAATGTAGCTGCCACACGCTCAAACGCAGTAAAATAACTGTCTACTTCTGCCTCTCTAAATGGTGGAACCAAATTAATATGTTTACTCACATCAAATGCTGGCAAACTCACAGGATCAGTTACGGCAGCAGCAGGACTAGATGAGGCTAGTGCAGGGCCACTGGGTAGCTGAGCAAATGACGGAGAGGTAGGTGAACGTATCGGAGAAACCCCGACCTGCTGAAACAGACCACGATCTCTCTGAAGTCGTTCTTTCTCTATTTCCAGCTCTAGCTCCTTTACCCTAAGCCTTTTACTCTCAGTCTCTGCCCGTTTAACTTCCAATTCCAGTTCCTTCAACTTTATTGCCAACATTGGATCTGACGCGGTCACCGCAGCATTAGGCTGCGCTTGCGCTGAAGACGGTAACATACGTGGCTCGGCGGAAGAGAGCGGTGCAGATAAAGGCTTCTCGTCGGCCATGACCAGCGAAGCAGCGCTCGCTTCTGCACCACGCTCAACCGTTTCGTCAGGTAGAATTTGTTGCAAAACCAATTCATCATGTAGATACTTTTTAATCGCTTTTTTAAGACTCATTCTGTGACACGGGTTAGCAATTTTAATTAAATCATCTTTGCGGCAGCGATTTAATTGTTCCACGTTCGGAGCCAGTGTAAAAGAAATCAAGTCAAACTCCATAATCCAATCCGAATTATTTTTCCCACACCACAAGAGAACAGATAGACAAAAGTTTGACTTACCACCCACATGCAGTCAAGACAGTTGGTTGAAACAGGTGACACAGAGTCGATATATTCCAGTTTCTGCAAACAGTAAAATACATAAACTATTTCCTCTTCTCACAAACCAAAAGACGAGCCCCCAATTTATGTTACGACCTCAAAAATGTCTAGGGCTGAAGTCGAACATAAAAATTATAGAGAAAATAAATAAACAGTTAGCAGGTTTGATTTCTAAATGACCTTTAAGGTTCTTTTATTGTGAGAAGGTGGAAAAGGTTTGTATTTACAATAAACAAATAAATGAGCGCAAACAAAAAGCTTCAGGGCTGAGCAAGGCCAAAATAACAAACAAAACATTTACTAACTCCACCCCGAAGATAAATTACCTACTGAATCAAAAGTAAATGAAGAAAATAAATTACAAATACTACCCTTACTCCTTAACTAAACGAAAAATACAGGAGAAAATCAGTGTCAAAGTAAATGGCACTCAGCCCCTACGGCGCTCAGCTCACAGCTATATCAAACAGTATTTGACAGTCACAAAAATTGGAGGGGAGAGGAAAAAGGGAGAGAACACCTTAATGTTCACAATTCATAAACAAACAGAAGCACTATGATACGTTTTCCACACGAACGCCACTCTTAGAAAACTCTCCGTCTCTCCCCCCAGCGATCTGACTCCGTCGGTTCCTTTTCAAAAGATGCTGACTTCTCCCAGCACCAACCACAGCGCACGCACGCAGCACGTCCAATTAGGGCGGGGTAACCTGGAAACAGGAACGGGACAGGACGAGAGAGGGAAAAAGAGAGACACACCCACACAGCAGCACAGAAACAACCCAATACGCTCTTGCGTAACAGCTGCTGACCTCAAAGACCACTTGAACATCAGATAACCCCCCATGAAAAAACATGAGTGTTATCTTAGTCAGATGGCATAAAGGCCCATATTCTTCTCATGTCTTGTCTTGAACTGCTTAAAAATTGCAATGAAATAAACAAGCTGAACACAGATGTTTTCTTTTAGCATTTTATTTGTAGATTTCTTACATAAAAAGATTTCTCACCTGGATAACAAAAGTATGGTTTAAAAAAGCAGATACAAACTGTATATTGATGCTGCACAATACAAAAGCTAAGCATATTTAAAACTTTAAACAGATATTTAAATATTTTTCTTCAACCCATCCAACAAACACACTTTTTATAGCTTAATTTTGACATAGAAGAATAAAATGCATGACCAGGAAAGCATGAGGAAAAGATTGATTGTGAGCACAGGTATGTATAAGCAAACTACAGACCATTAGCATCATACAAATCTGATTAAATGGTTTCACTTACCACAAAGTTATGAATAAACACATGAATACAAATCACTTTTTTTACACCACTAAATCTGAAGCTGAGTGGATTTACCTAGTGCTGCATTAGACATGTGTACTCACTGGCACAGCATTTCATTTCATTTTGCTTCCACAGCAGCGACTACAGAAATACTTGCCCTTATAATCTATTTAACTTTCACTACGGTGACATACAATTCATCATACTTCATTCCTAAAAAAATGACATGACCAGTGATAGATATAATCATAATAAAACATAGAATGTATTTTTCATTTATGTTAATATATAAGTTACATTAGAGCAGGGGTTCTCAACCTTTTTCACTTTAAGGCCCATCTCCTTCTGCGAAAGTTTTTTTTGAAGGCCCAAACTGGTTGTCTAGAGAAAATGCTAATTTTAAAGGTTAATCTATTAGCAAAATGTTTCTTTTGCCTTCTATTATGGTATTTTTTTTAGATCATTTTATTGAAAAAAATGAAACAATATAAATATATACATTTAAATATAGTATAAAATATAATCATATATATTTTTTTTTATATAAAAAAAAAAATGCACAGACACGTTCAAAGCTCCTGAATCCTTTACTTCAGTTATTTTTTTTTAGAACTTCAGAGTATTTGGGGCTTTTCTGTAATAAATGAAGCTGACAGGACATGGCAAACAAATGAACAGTTTCTGCTTTGAATTAGACAGACTACTATTCATCTTTTGATTTACTATTCATATCCAATAAAATAAACAAAGAAATGTAAAAACCCTTAAATCCTTTGAAAGGCATCAATCTGAAGGCGGTTTGGTTTGTAGCTGGGCATTATTGGAGTTCGCTGATAGGAACAGTGAACAGCTGTTCACTACTGAAACACCACCAAGTCTCGCTAGATCCTCCTGTACGGGCGCATGTCTGTTATAAAACACTCGCGGGACATTACTTTGCACAACTATATGGATATTTTAAAGCGTTCCCACAAAGAGAGCACGCATAGTTTGTGAATCAACTGACTTGTGGGGCACAAGTAAGCTGGTTATTAAAACCTTAATCATCGTTAACGTTACCTTTACATTTTGCGTGACTCTTTGATTTACACAACTGAGAACGTAGTCTTATTTGACTGTGGTTGGAAGTTAAAGCCGCAAGACTGTACAGTGAGGCTGTTTTTGCACAAAGTTCGAATTGGCCTATTCAATCACAGAAAACGGGAAATGCCATTACTTCGATCATGTTAATATGACTTTTTCAATAATGAATTCAAATAATTATGTTATAATATTTAAGTTAATTTTAAGCTATCTTGCAGCCCACCTACAGGATCGCTGAGGCCCACCGGTTGAGAATCCCTGCATTGGAATATAATTTAATATGTTATATTTAATGTAAGTATTATAATATAGAGTTTAGTTATTTTTGTTTTTAAATATATCATTTTATGCAACCATCTGTTTGCACAACAGACGCTATATTCATTTTCATGATAAATATTTTCAATACAGATTATTTACATTTGTGCTCCTCATATGAGAGTGCATGTGTATAATCTTTATATATCAATAAATACTTCCAAAATATAAAACTAATTCATATCATTATTTCATTATGCAGCTTCAATGATCAAGTCATGATTCCTTTAATAAAAAAAGAGAAATGAATCCTAAGATTATAAAGTCCTGAGGTTCTAAAAGCGGCTAACACAAACCGAATAATACAGCCAATGCTATATAAATGTAGGTATAACCATGACATAATAATGGCATGATAAAGATGAGACGTCCAGGAGAGGTGCAAGGATTTCCTGAGATTCAAACAGAAAGAGAAAGCCTTCTATTAATGTCACTGGATTCTATTATTATCGACTGACTAATGTAGTTTAAAGACAGTGTTTTGAATTACTCATATACATCATAACCACAGTGTTTTACAAAACACCAACGATACATACCAGAATCAAACTTCAGCATCACAAGTAGTATATCCAGGACTGTAAAGACAGAATTATAAATGTTTTCAGAATCAATAGACAAAGCCATAAGTAGGCCCACCTAGAATCTGCGCACGCAGATTTCCGCAGATTTTAAGTGCATCATTAATTCTGTTCATTTACATGAGTAAATTTGTGTAAATCTATATTTATTCAGTTTTTTACTTAATTTTTGTAATATTAACTAATGTGAAAATGTTCGTCTGATTTATGTACAATGCAGTTTGTAAAGTAATATTTTCTGTCTTTTACTAGATATATTATATGACAAACTTGCTTTATTTACCTAATAAAGTGAATCTAATTGGATTTGCATTTTAAACATTAAATAAAAGTTAAAAAAGATATTATTTTTTATTTCATATATCAAGGTTTTAGTCCTGATACTCCCAAAATAATTCTGCAGAAATCCGCACACTTTTACCAAAATTCTCTGCAGAAAAAGCAAAAAACGTCCGCAGATTCCGTCTGGCCCTAGTTATAAGTTTATCTTGACATGCCAGTGTTGTAGAGCATCTTACCCTCGATTTTTCATATAACATGCAACGCTGGTGATCATGATAATCACCAACAGTCCACACACACATGCTCCAATCACAACACCAGTGTTCCAGATAGAAGAACCCCCTAGTGAAAGAAAAAAAAGCACAAAGCAGAGGTGTGAGAATGTGAATTATTTAAATTAGGACTAAAGGCTAAATTAATAACAAACTTTTCCTACGAACATTTTCACCATGTTCTTCAGTGAAACATGGAAGATACTTTGAAGAACATTTGGGTCCCAATAATATTACCAAGAAACACCAAATAACTTTCACTGTATGAATAAAAATGTCAGATTTGCAAACAGGAAAACGGGTTCTGGTTCAGGTCTTTACTTTTTGCTTTGTTAAACGTCCTGTAAAGTGCTTTGACATGTGCCATTATATTCAGCGTTTGACGTAATCTCAACTACATGAGGATCAGGAAGGCTGGGCGGGACATACATTCTCTACCCTCCTATTCAAAAACAACCAATATTGTTCGATTTATATCAAAACTCTGCAAGTCAGTGCTGTTGAGCACTGTCTATAATAAAAATACAGAGTCTTGCCATTTCTATCCAAAGGAAATAATATTTACACAGTCTGTGTCCCCATATACCTTATTCATAAATAACAGAAGAGTAATATATTGATACTAACACTT